ATTCAATGAAAAAATGATGTGACATAGACAATTTTGGTTACGCACCTATGTGTATTAAAATATAAATACTAACGACCATACAGTGCGTATAAAAACAAAGTATACACTACTTTGGTAGCTTCTAATTAAAAAGATATAAACCTATGTGACCTTGAATCATATGTTATTGCAAAATCGAATGTATACCCTGTCTAATAATACCATTCTTATAATTGTGCTATCAAGCATGCCTGAAGAGCAGACTTTTTAAAAAATATTGTCAAAATTCTTTTGTTCAATGTCTGAATCAATGTGGGTCAAAAGTCATTACATTTGTGTGATTTGCATTGCTCATTTCTTTACATTGACTATTAGGCACTTTGAAAAGAGCGTTAACGGGATAGCTGAGTTTTGTTGCAGGGGGCGCTACCCAAAATATTTTTTTTGTGAGATAATGACAAACTGTGTGTCAAATTTGAAAGAACATACAAAATCATCTTTGCTCGATCTAAATCAGTTTAGAGACGGCTGAAATATATATAAATATAACGATTTTTGATTTTGTGGTGCCCCACAAACATTCGAAAATTTGAACCAGCCGTTGAAAAAAACTAAATAGCGCCTTATAAGTTTTATTTCAGTCAATGCCGATGTTGGCTGTGTGTTGGCTTTTTCGTGTTCGTTATAATACACACAACCAGCCGGCCGTGTATTGTTATTATTAATTGATAGATTAATTAACGGTCACTGATTTAAAAAAATAACTAAATTGGTGTAATCGTTTTGGCTAAATTTCACACATTGTAGGGTCTAAAATTACCTTCATAACAATTTTAGAATAAGAGCAATAGGGCAGTGAACAAGTGAGCAAAGAGAACTTAGATAATAATGTGACAATAAGTTAGTAGGCTGTTTAAAATAGTTAATGTTATCTTGTGGGCCGGGGGTCTTAGGCAAATATAAATATTGTTTCAAGTTTCAATTCTTTATTTTTCCACATTTCACACACAATATAGACGAACATTTAAATATAAATATGCTGACTTTTACATCAGGAAATACCAATCGTCATCTCATATTTTTTTGAAATCCTTGTATCGCCATAGTTCATGTATTTACTTTCAGTATTCAAAAGCGATTTACATTCATATGTTTCTGTTTTGCTACGTAAGAGGGCCCCAATGAATATGTTAACATCTCCTTCTACAGTACTATCACCCTCAGGGAGATACTTTTCACCCAAATAAAGGAAGTTCCCCTTATCGTCGCGAGCGTTGGTAATAACCAGGACTGCCATAATCATACTCTAGAGAATGTTGTATCGTAATTCATTGACAATCCCAGTAGAAAGACCTCACTCAGTATTTTACACTGTAATGCATCGAGTAATCTTTAACTTTTAAATAGAACATATTGGTTAAAACTCGCTTGTAATCGGTCTCGCCATTTTTGTATAACTAACTCGACACTATGAAATTGTGAGTGGTGAATAAGATGTGAACTTGACTAATCAAATTATTTTCCTCCTCCGTCTTTGTTTTTCTTCAAAAAAATGCCCTTTTCCTCTTTCCAATTATGCTGACTTTTACATCAGGAAATACCATTCGCAGTCTCATATTTTTTGTAATCTTTATGTTTATGTATTTACTTTCAGTATTCAAAGGCGATTTATACTCATATTTCACTGTTTTGCTACGTAAGTGGAGACTTATGAAAATGTTAACATCCAGGAAATACCTTTTTGAATTTTAGTTAGGCCTTTTCACTTTTCATCTTCATTTCATCTTCATCTATGTACTTCTACACGTTCCTTTATTCTGAACAGCTAATCTCCTTCTGTAATACTATCACCCTCAGTGAAATACTTTTCACCAAAATAAAAGGAAGTTCCCTTATCGTCACGAGCGTTGGTAATAACCAGGATTGCCAAAATCATACTCTAGAAAATGTTGTATCGGAATTCATTAACAATCCCAGTAGAAAGACCTCACTCAGTATTTTACACTGTAATGCATCGAGTAATCTTTAACTTTTAAATAGAACATATTGGTTTAAACTCGCTTGTAATCGATCTCGCCATTTTTGTATAACTAACTCGACACTTTGATATTGTGAGTGGTGAATAAAATGTTAACTTGACTAATCAAATTATTTTCCTCCTCCGTCTTCATTTTCTTCGAAAAATGCCCTTTTCCTCTTTCCAATTATGCTGACTTTTACATCAGAAAATACCACTCGCAGTCTCATATTTTTTGTAATCTTTATAGTTCATGTATTTACTTTCAGTATTCAAAGGCGATTTATACTCATATTTTACTGTTTTGCTACGTAAGTGGAGACTATTGAAAATGTTAACATCCAGGAAATACCTTTTTTGAATTTTAGTTAGGCCTTTTCACTTTTCATCTTCATTTCATCTTCATCTATGTACTTCTACACGTGCCTTCATTCTGCACAGCTAATCTCCTTCTGCAATACTATCACCCTCAGTGAGATACTTTTCACCAAAATAAAAGGAAGTTCCCTCATCGTCGCGAGCGTTGGTAATAACCAGGATTGCCAAAATCATACTCTAGAAAATGTTGTATCGAAATTTAGGAAATACATCAGGAAATACCACTCGCCGTCCAATATTTGTTGTAATCCTTATATCGCCATAGTTTATGTATTTACTTTCAGTATTCAAAGGTGATTTTTATTCATATTTTACTGTTTTGCTACGTAAGGGGAGACCAATCACATTGAAGGAATCAAATCAACTTTTATCGAAATTGGAAATATAAAGGTCAACAAAATGTATTATCTGTCCAACACATAAAATATACTTCATAATGGGTGGTTTTAATGTAGACATTTTGCCTTCACTACAAAACAACACTGATGCAACCCTGATTAATGCATCAGTTTCTCATGTATTACATCCACTAATGAATATGGAATATATAATCAACATGGAATATAATGAATGGAATTATAGGGAAGAAAACTAATCACTCGAGCACTCCAACATTATTTGAAAATGGCCGTGAACTATTGGACCCTACTGAGGCAGCAAATTTGTTAATTCATACTTTATTAACATTGGCCTAAGCTATCTGCCAAAATTGAAAGCGATAACTCACGACCTAACGATTTCTTTTTAACCCACTTGCAAAGAGTATTTTTTTATTGAACCATTCGATAGAGCTTAATCAATAAAGCCTAGCAACTCCATCCGGTTACGACGAAATTTGTACAAATCCCCTTAAAGGGCAAGTCCACTCCAAAAATAATTTACTTTCAAAAGAAGTATACAAATCAGACGAACCAAGCATAACAAGTTTGAGCAAAATCGGATAACAAATAAGGAAGTTTTGAATTTTTAATAACATGAAAAACTTTAAAAATCAGGAGATAAATTTACAACACACTCATGAGTCTGTGACTTCATTGCATTACTATTCACTTATTGTTTTCTTTATATCGATAACATATCAGTACACTAATATAAAGTAATTTTTTTAGTAAAATCATTAAAAATGTGAATTTTTATGAACTTTTTAACCAAAAATCAATGATAAAATAGTTTCAATAGTTTCAAATAGTATCAATTCTTAAAAGTTCCTAAAAGATTGTGTGAAATGTCATGCACGTAATATGAAACAAATCATATAAACTGGGCAAAGACATGAGGAAATCAAGTTGTGGGGGATAAAAAGGGAACTTAATGGGATAAACATATATAAAGCAATTGATAAATAGTGAGGCAAAGACGTTATAAACTGAGAACCAAGTTTGCAATTTGTGTAGTGATTTTCTATGTTCTATAAAAACTGTTGTTCATACTTTTAATAAAAATCATATATTCCATATTAGTTATCCGTTTTTATTCAAATTCTTTTGCTCTGTTTCTCTTGTTTTTCTGCATCTATTAAAAGCAAATTATGTTTGGATTGGCTTTAGCCTTTAATGCCTATCTGCACTAGTTTGGCCAGGAGGTATTAGACCTTCCTGCATGGTCACTGACAAGTGGTTATCTCATCAAATCAGCCCTTAATCAACATAATAAAAGGGGACCATGAGGGGGGGGGGGGGTCGGTCACCACTTAGGCATTGTTTGCTTTATAGAGGCCGCAAGTAGCTATAAGTAGTGTAGTAGGGCTTTAAGAATATTATTGGCCTGATAGTCCTTCTCTTGGATATATTTTTGCTCTATCTCTATCCTCTGGAATGTTTCCTAATTCGCTTAAAATTGCGAAGGTTATTCCTATTTGCAAAAAAGATGACCTTACCTTTAAAATTAAGTATTTACCGTCTAATATCATTGTAACCGAGCATTCCAAAATATTTTGAAATAAATAATAAACAATGTAATATTTGCATTTCTAACTAAATGCGACCTAATAAATGGAAATCAATTGGGCTTTAGAAAACAATTACTCCACCGATCTTGCCCTGCCCCAATTATATGATAATATTAAGAATACTTTATGCAATGGTGAACATGTCTACTTATGGACCTAAGTTAGACCTTTAATACTTAAGATTAAAGAATTTTAATACACACGTTACAAACATTATGGTATCAAAGACAACACACTCCCCTGGTACCAAGACTACTTATCTAATAGAAAACAATTCGAATGACACAACTCTAAATCCTAATACTATCAACACATAACATGTGCCACACCCCTAAAGATCCATCCTAGGCCCACTTCTATTTCTCATTTACATCAATAATATTTCAAACTTCTCTACTAATCTGACATATATACGCTAATCATACTACTCTCTTTCGTTTTCATTCCGAGCTTGATGCACCGGTAAATTAAATCAACATTAGGAACAATTTCACATGCAGGAACAAAATTGATGGAATAGCTTAATCTAAAGAAACAAGTTCAACATTTCTCCGAGTGATCATTGACGGAAACCTAACTTGGAAACAATAAATAACAAGATATCGATACCACCGTATCACGAGATGTAGGTATTTCATTCAAACTTAAGAACATTTAAAAAAAAATTGTCTAATAGCAACGAAACGATTTCTAGAATCAAAAAAAGGAAAAAGAAATACAAATTATGAAAAGTAAAAGAGCTCCCCAAAAGTATCGACAAGTTTATCTGCCCATGCACGAGATTAAAATAACCCAGTAGCTATGTCCTCACTCTTCGTTCCACTCGCCATTTTGAAGTTTATTGCCGAGACTAAGCACTGTAGAGAAAGAGAAAGAGAGACGAAGAAAAATGACCAGTTATAATTGAGTAGGGCGTATCATAAAGATATAACACCTACATACACTTTCAAAATGCAACATGGTACACAGTTTCATTTCAGAAGAAACAATTTATAGCTTTCATGACATTGCTTATCTTAAATTAAATTAAATTACAGAGCGGCCAAGTGCAGAATGGAGAAGAAAAAAACTTTTATTAGTAAAGATTTTTTGTTAAATATACTATGTCCTTTTTGCAGCCAACGTCAAATTCTGTAGAACTTAGCAGGAATTATGAATTCCTCATGTATGCCCTATCTGTAAAATTTAAACGTTAGCAGTGTCCTAATATTCAAATTATGCAAGGAAACCTGTTTACTCGCTAGACTTCACTGTCAGACACTATTGAGTGACTGACAGGCTTTTTTCTTCCTTGGTAATAACATACATAACATGATCTGTAAAGGGTACATGAGCATTTGTCTACATCAATAACCCACTTCTTGTAATGGCCAAAATTAAACTGACTGAATCTTTGCGCAGCATAAAACATACGACCTGCGGTACAATGGTCTGAAAATCAGAATATTACTTAATGGATCTATAGCTCTTAAGTAGATTCGACAACTAATAGTCGTTATTTTCCCACTTAAAGATATGTTCAAGCCCCCTTTTTATAGGGAAGTTCTAAATTAGTATTACCATTCAAATGCCGTTGGAATTTAATCTTTTCATTTTCTGGGGCCTGCAAATGGGGACAAAGTACCTTTAATAATAATAATAATAATAATACATGAGATTTATATAGCGCCATTATCCATTTTAATTAAATGCTCAAGGCGCTTAAGGAATAGTCGATTCTTTTCAGCTTTTATATCAAGTTTAATGAGATTTAGGAGTTCCGGTAAAGACGAAGATTAATGTGTGAGCTTCCTAATCCTCTTTATTTCAACCTAGAACAATACCCACGTAGAAGAAATGTGCCCCCGTATAATAATAATAATAATAATAATATAATAATAATAGCCTAATAGTCCACTCCAAATTTTATTGAACCGAAACGGATTTTTTTTTTGCCCAATTGATCGTGAGCCCGGCAGCCACTGAGCAGCGCCAGATCGACGTTGCTCTATCCCTTACTGTTGAACGCCTAACAAGGTAGCAACAACTCCCATCTTTTAACGTCTTTTGGTATGACGCGGCCGGGGTTCGAACCCACGACCTCCCGGTTGTGCGGCGGACGCTCTACTGACTGAGCCAACACTCCGGTTTTTTTTATTTTTTTATTTTTTTATTTTTTTATTTTTTTTAATAATAATAATAGCAGATGACTAGTAATAGCTAAGGTGTTCGACCCAAACGGTTATGACGAATGTGCGTGTAGTCCCGTATACCCATTTCCGTGTTAGATGTAGTGATAAGCGCATCCTTATTAACGTTATCATTATCATTATATATTAGTACATGTATTATCATTATTTGTTTTATTATTGTTATTATTGTTATTATTATAATTAATATTGTCATTACTATAACTATCATCTAATAACTATATTTAATCAACCTTTCACAATGCCACTGCTTGACACCAGTTCTCAGCTGTATGTCTAAAAGAACTTACTCGACGTAGGTAGGGTTGTCATGAACTTCAGCCTGGTCTGTTGAAGGGTTTACCTTCCTAATACAAGAAAACAAAAGTAAGAGCGATATTAGGAGTTTGAGGATGAAAGGAAAGGTTATCATAATAATGAAAATGAAGTAAACAAAAAAAAACGGGATAATAGTAAATAATTATGTGATGGAGTTGGGTGAAGCTCGCGATAATTACAAGACAATTTTTCTGGGTGACCATGTGTATCCCTTGCGGTAATTTCCTACGAGTTTCTATCATTAACACGGTACTCAACAAATTAAACTTAACGCTAATCCGAAACCAAACCTACAAGCCAATTACAACCCTAACCCCTACCCTCTACTTTAAGGAAAATAATATTCTGGTTTGACAAAGAGCTTAAAACACTTACGATGTCTTTATGCCCTTTACAGGTCTCAGGAAACTACAATGAATGTCCATCGTTACGGACACCAATCTATTTACTGGATGGAGGGTAGCAACAGGGGCGTACGCAGGGGGGGGGGGGGGGGGGTTGGGGGTTCGAACCCCCCCCCTTTGGTATTTTTATGTATGTAAACCCCCCCCCCCTAAAAAAACCTAAACCCCCCCCCCCCCCCCCCTTTGGTTTTTTTTTTTTTTTTTTTTTTTTATTATTTAAAAAAAAAAAAAAAAAAAATTATACCCACGGCTAACCTAAATAAGGTGACCTAACCCCCCCCCCCCCAACGACAAAAAATGTCAAATTATGAAATTTCGAGACCAAAAAAAAAAAAAAAATGTGTCCGCTTTGCGATTTTTTTTTGACCTCCAAAAAAAAAAAAAAAAAGTGTCCGCTTACCCCCCCCCCCCCCTGCGTATTTTAAATATTTTAAAACCCCCCCCTTGAAAAAATCCTGCGTACGCCCCTGGGTAGCAATGTTTATTAATTTCTTGCTATATAGGACGTTAGTGCCTGGCTATGATTCGGCCCCTCAACCCTTGGTTTGAGAGAGATGACAAGTTAATGAACCACTATACCATGACACCTCCACATATCGGAGCACCCTCTTTAAGAGGCCCTGTACAAGGACACATAAATGTAGGTATAGCTGAAATCCCATGATGGCAAAGACTTCTTGAAAGTCAACCTAAGGCATTGTCAATAGCTCTGTCTATCAACAATTGAAACGTGCGAACATGTTTTGTAGGTGTCTTTGGCGCCAACAAAATTAATGCAGCATACCTCGGTGGTGGACGTTTCTTCAGTCCGCAGATCAGAACGACGACAAGCACGATCAAAACGATCAGAACGATCAGAAGTACCGATCCCCCATATATTCCGATGATCGCAAGCGTCGAAAGAACTGTAGAGAAAGAGGATTGTTTGTTTCATTCTTGACATAAAAACTTCGTACATGGATACAGTGCGACTAAGCAAGACGAACTTAAGAAGTACTGGTATTTGTATTTTATCTAGCCTTCCTAAGCCTAGTTGGCAACTAAAATACTCCCTGTTAGCTAGATAAAGAAGTATTTGTCAAACCTCACTAGGTTTTACGTTACAACTAGGTCCTAGGTCATGAAGCCTACTTGGTAACTTAAAGGCCCCCATGTTGAAGAATTCGATGAGAGGCTTCATTCTGATATCATATGCACTTTGACATCCCTCATTTGACTTTAATTACATTTATGTAGGAACATTTGTGGGGGATTGCTTGAGTTTTCCAGCACGCGTCTGTGTGCATGTATTCTTCAGAAGGATGTTATCCTTTACCTGACAATGGAGCTTGACTCGAAGGTTCCTGAAATTTAAGAGAAACGAATATCATATATTTCATTTACTTCATCTTATTTCTACAGTCCAAGAAAATCATTGCGATCATCATGGCATACGTGGATATTATTAAAATTACCTATTTTTATGTTTACAAATTGTTCTCAATGGAGGAGATCATGTACTGATTATATCGGTAATCGTTCTGTATTGTTTTACTTTAGCTTGATGTTTAATTTGATATGTCAAAACAAATAGTTTTTATTTGACAATTAAAACGTGAATAATATATTTGCATTATTTCATCACTCTATTCGGATGAGAATGATACACTGTACAAAGATAAGAAGATTGATGACTCACTATTGTTGCCTCAGTTGTCCTATCTGAAATACCTGTGAATGGGATAACATTATATAAAATGAGATATGATGAGAACAAATTATAATATTTCAGTATTCGTTCCATGATTACACATTTCTCTATTCTAGGGATTTGACCAGGCCCATATTCATAAAGCCCCTATCAGCCAAGTTGGCAACTGAAATGCTCTCCGTCAGCTAATGCAAGAAGTTTTTATAACCTTACTACGTTCTAGTTTGCAACTAGGTCCTAGGTCATTAAAGCCTACTTGGCAACTTACTGGCTTCCATGTTAAAGATTTCGATGGGAGGTCTCAATCTGATATAAAATGCACTTTACTCCATGATTTTACTCTAATTATACAAACATGCAGGTTGGTATTTGAGGGAGTGTGTGTTTGTGTGAGCCCGCAAGCTTCTGTGTGCATGTATTATAAAGAAGAATATAATTTTTTACCTGATGTTGGGGCTTGACTAGTAGGTCCCTGAAATTCAAGAGAAACGAGTATTACAGATATTTCATTTACTAAATCAAGTTCCAATAAAGTCATTTAGATTCTTATAGTATTCATGGAAATCATTAAAAGTTTGATTTTTACGAATTATTCACGGTTGGAGGATGATGTGTAATGATTTTGACAATTTGTTATTGTTTTTACTTTCTTGGTTTATTTGATACGTCAAAAAATGTAATTTTTCATGGTAGTCATTATTATTTCATATGTGCATTTTGCACTGCATAACATCGTCACACTATACGAATTAGAATGATATAAAGATATGGAGATTGATAACTCACGATTGTTCCCTTAGTTGTCGTATCTGAAATACCTGTGAATGGAATAAAAATGAGAAAAAAATTACAATATAACAGTTTCCGTACCATGCACTCTTAATGTCAGCGAGTAAATTGTGCCGAGTAAAACAAGTTGAGTAACAAAATGAGCAATTCAGTACTCAAGCTGGAGTAAGACCTTGATTTTAGTGGTACTCGTCACCCGAGTAATTTGTTACCTTCGATAAAGAGAAAATCAATGACTCAACATTGAGTACGAATTTCGTTTGTATCAATTTTGAGTAAACTACGGTTGGGTATTACGCTGCGGCAGGTGATAAATAAATCAACATTGATCTCTTACCCGAATTTACCTCGGGTGCGAGTGAAAGTTGGATCGATGGAAAGTGCAACTAGCTGTCAATATGCATGTGGCACCTGTTCTACACATTTTTACATAATAGCAGCTGTATGTTCCTTTGTCTACCTAAGGAACTGGATATTTTGTACTCTTTCATTGTCCGTCATGTGCATGTCTCGTGCATGCATGTGCGCGTGCAGAAAGATGCGAAAGAACTGAGATACACTCTTAGAAAAAAGGGTGCAAAAAAGGGTGCAAAATAAGAGTTTGCACCCTTTACATAAAAATGAACCCTATTGAAGGAAAAGGGGTTAAAAAAAGGGTGCAATATAAGATTTTGCACCCTTCCCACAACAATGAACCCTATCGACCAAAAGAGGGTGCAAAATAAAAGTTTGCATATTGCATGCATATTCATGATTACTTTCCACGTGTTCACATAAAAATACATTTATCATGATTTGTTAAGCAAATTATGACAATGCACATCAATTTTTTGATTTTGTATTTTCCTTTGGCAATCATTAACCAATATATTATTTTGTCTGATCATGTTACAATTACATTCACGTTTTAGCAATAGATATATTGATTATATGATTACTAACCAAGAAACATCATGCATGTTTAATATGTATTTGTGTACGAGCAAATTTTACCAGTATTCCTCGATGATGGGTGCAGGATTGCACCTTTTAAAGGGTGCAGGATTGAACCCCTAAAGGTGCTGCTATTGCATCGGTTTGCACCCCTAATGGAGTAAAAACATGTACTTAACTTAGTACATGTTTTTACTCAATATTGATTGAGCAACTAAGCGTTACCCAGAAAACATACTCAATAATTGAGCAAAAAAATCGCTCAAACAATTTGAGTCAAAACATGTACTCGTTAATTGAGGAAAATTTGGCTCAACTCATGAGCAGTTTCTTACTCGACATGAGTTGATTACGTTTCTACCCAGTACTGAGTAAAAAAGGAAACCGCTAAACAAAGAGTAAATATTGAGTAAAGGTTGACTCTTTCAAACTGAGTAGAGATTTAGTCTTTTATTGAGTAATATTTTTACTCAACAGATGGGTAGATTTGTTACTCAACACATGCTGAGTAAAGTTTACTCAAAAGTCGGGTGGTTTCCTTTTGACCACCCAAAAGAGTAACATTTTGACTCAAATTGAGCAGTTTTTTTTTAGAGTGTGGCTACACCTTTCTCTATTTCTCAATTTCTTCCCAAATTTCGAGTTAAAGTATTTATAGATATAGAAACTATCTCTACATCACTAGTTGGCTACTAATTATTTCATCACCCATGAAAGAGAAAAAACTGTGGTCCGAGTGTCATAGATCTGGGAGAGATAATTTAATGTCATGGAAAGGGAAGGAGAAAGAAATGTATATTTCAGCACAGGATTAATCCACAAGACGTGATTGTGTTGTGATGCGGAATAGTTTAAGAGCTATAGATTTTCTTATGCTATGTTTACACTATGTTCCCGGCGGCCACGGCAGCACCGTTTGCCCGAAACGTAGTGCGCCGTGGGATTTTGGCAATATTTTTCTCTGTGTTCAAGTTTTGTTAGGTCTTGTCAAGTTTTCTCACGGTCTTTCACGGTATCCGTGACGGGCCGTGCGGGGAAAGTGGCTGCTGAGTCCCGGAGGCTCCAAGGCGCACTACGGTTCGGCCCCGGTCTTCCGCGGATGCCAGTACATTCCCTCCCGGCCCGTCACGTTCTGATGGGGTCCCTCACGTTTCTCACGTTATGATCAAGGTCTGACACGTTTTTCACGTTCTGTCAAGGCTCTCTACGGATGAAATGTAGACGCCGGGCAGTACTGGAGCTCGGTTGTGCCCACGGTATAAAAAGAAGGTCTTCCAAGCAGTAAAGTGCAGCGTAGCATGCTGCTGGAGGAAGTAAATGTTGAGCTCCTTCTCATCCTCCGTAAAGGTGGTGACGACCCTGTGGGCTGCCCTCTTCCAGGCTGGTGCGTCTTCCTCAGCCTCCCCAGCCTCCTCAGCCTCGGATTCAGGTTCCAGTTCAGGGACCGGGTTAACAGCTGCAGCATGCTCCTCTTCATTGGCGGGGGTGAACGGCGAGGGTCTTCAGGCTGTTCCTGCTACCATGCACCCTGGGCTGCAGGCAAAATGTGGCAAAATGGTACAAAATGCGCAGCAACCGTGAAGCAACCGTGACAAAACGTGCACTAAACGTGGCAGAACGTAACAAAACTTGAAAAGACCGTAAGATGCCGGGAAATGAGCTGGCTTCCCGTCCCATCTCTAAGTTTTGTTACGGCCTACTAAGGACTGTCACGTTGTTCACCCCGTACGGCCTACTAGGTTTCTCATCCGCACCGTGAAGGTCCGGTCACACAGATGGTGGTGATATATAAGTAATTATTTGGTCTTTTAAGCACGTATATAATCGATTGGTTTCACAGGTTATCCAAGGTTGATGGTAATAATCACGTTACTTACACCGGCTAATCGTCTTATTGTTCTGTCCGTGAATCTCTGGTTGTATTAAATTAGTAATTCTGAGGTGTCTTAAAACACCTTTTTAAATGGTGGTCAAGGTTGCCATAAGTTCCGCGGTAATGATCTCGTGACTCAAACGGATTATTAATCTAAGCTGGGCATCCGTGATTTTTAGGTGTGAAAAATTAGTCATTATTATGTGTCTTAAAACACCTTTTTAAATGGTATCAAAGTTACCCAAACTTTCTTGGTGATGATCACGTGGCTAAAACTATCACTAACGCTTCACGTGTTTCTGAGACGCGATTCTAAAACGTCTAAAGAATGTGATAATTTCGTTTATGAAAATGTAATTTCATAACCAAACATAAACGGGAGTATAAGGTTTACAAACCATGGTCTCCAAGGTAGGGATAATATTATAATGGTGATAGTGTAGTGACAATTGCGTGATATAGTGTACGTGTGTTTTTTAGTGACGTATTACTGTTCGGACACTCGTGTTATTCTAGCGATTTCCAGACGTTTTCCAGAGCATTATCATTACATATTTCTTAAACGAATTATTTAGATAGAATGATATGCCATTTTAAGATTGACTTCTTTTTAATTTGTGCTCCCCCACTCCCATCTAAAAGTAAAGGTAATTTCCATACAACACTTGGTACCTTTGCAAGGGACACATTCCTTCATGTCAATGGCCCCGTTGTGTTTATCAAGGTTATAGTGTATACAAACTTCGGGAAAATACTCTAGCATCGATCTCTTCTGATAAACAGTAAAAAAAAAATGAATGATACAAAAAAAGAAAACTGAGAAAGATTTGTTAAAAAAGCTAGAAGAAGAAAGAGAGAGAAAATGAAACTGAGAACAGGTAGAGAGAGAGAGAGAGAGAGAGGAGATGCAAAAATGTAGTCAAATCACAAGTTCCTCCGTACTCGTAATCCGAGTCCACGGCGCAGGCACCTATAGTGAGCCATGTATTTTCGTTAATACTTATGTGATGGTTTATATTCAAGTTCTTTTAAAGACAATAAGGACGACGATAAAGTAAAAGAACACGATGATGTTGATAATTTTAGAGAGGCATCGACTCTACCACCACCAGGCCATCACTGGTCCATGGCACAGTCACGATGAAGTCACGAACGAATACCTTATTTGGTGATCGAATGGAGAGGCAAAACCTGAGTTGAGAGGTAAAGGCCCGAATTCACAAAGCAAGGTTTGAGCTCAGACCAAGGTTTGAGCTCAAACCTCCTTTTGTTTCGCCAAACCTCCTTTTGTTCTTTACAAACCAGGTTTGTAAAAAACGCGTAAAACGCGTTATATGACGTACGAAAACTAAGGTTTGTCGACAAACCTCCTTTGTGAATTCGGGCCAAGAGGTTTGAAGAAATCTTACCTGTTTCACAGGTTGTACCAGTGTACCCAGTTGCACACATGCACATCAATGTAGTCACATCACAAGTTCCTCCGTACTCGCAATCCGAGTCCACGGCGCAGGCACCTATAATGAGCAATTTATTACCGTTAAGACTTATGTGATGGTTTATATTTAAGTTCTTTTAAAGACAATGAGGACGACGATAAAGTAAAAGAACACGATGATGTTGATCATTTTAGAGAGGCATCGACTCTACCACCAGGCCATCACTGGTCCATGGCACAGTCACGATGAAGTCACGAACGAATACCTAAGCTCTCCTGGTTCCTTCTGACTCATCAATATTCATTAGTCCGCCATAGGACAATAACTTTTATAAATGTAATGCTTCCTGGGAGAAATTTCAATTATTTAAACATATTTGTGGCTTAAACCCAGTAAATAAGATCAATTGATCGATCTGTATTGAAAAACAAGTTTTAAAAAATCTTTGAACCAGCGGGACTTGAACCTGCATCTACTGCTTGCCGGGCAGCGACTCTACCACCAGGCCATCACTGGTCCATATGGCACAGTCACGATGAACTAGAACAAATACCTAAGCTCTCCTGATTCTTTCTGACTCATTAATATTTATTAGTACGCCATAGGACAATAACCTTTATAAATTTAATGCTTCCTGGGAGAAATTTCAATTATTTAAACATATTTGTGGCTTACACCCAGTAAATAAGATCGATTGATCCATCTGTATTGAAAACGAGTTAAAACAAATCTTTGAACCAGTGGGACTTGAACCTGCATCTACTGCTTGCCGGGCAGCGACTCTACGACCAGGCCATCACTGGTCCATGGCACTTTTGTTTGATAATTAAGCTTTATTCCACCCTTTTGTAAGTGTTAAAGAGAAAATGTTTTAAAAATAGAGTTTCTTTTTCAGTTCGTTATAGGAATGAAGTAATCAAGGCCACTGCCCTAAATTTACAACGTGTCTTTTATTAGGTGATCGAATGGAGATGCAAAACCTGAGTTGAGAGGTAAGAGGTTTGAAGAAATATTACCTGTTCCACAGGTTGTACCGGTGTACCCAGTTGCACACATGCACATCAATGTAGTCATATCACAAGTTCCTCCGTACTCGCAATCCGAGTCCACGGCGCAGGCACCTATAATGAGCCACTTATTATCGTTAAGACTTATGTGATGGATTGTATTCAAGCTCTTTTAAAGACAATGAGGACGACGATAAAGTAAAAGAACACGATGATGTTGATAATTTTAGAGATAACATCATTCATAACGACTCTGATGATGATGATGAAGATGGTGATAATGAATAATGATGGATATAATGTCTATATACCAAGTTAACTTTTCTGTTCTAATTTTCTAATCGAGTAGCATTCCCGTCTTTCGAGATATTGAAAAAACATCAGGCCAAAGAGGCAAAAATACGTTAGTGACAGCATGAAGTTTGTATAGCGATAGGACCCGAGGAAGACTTATAATAATCAACCATTGCATTTTTGTTCGACAATTAAGCTTTATTCACACTTTTGTAAGTGTAAAAGAGAAAATGTTCTAAAAATAGAGTTTCTTCTTTAGTTCGTTTTAGGAATGAAATAACCCAGGCCACTGCCCTAAATTTACACCGTGTCTTTTATTTGGTGATCGAATGGAGAGGCAAAACCTGAGTTGAGAGGTGAAGGCCCGAATTCACAAAGCAAGGTTTGAGCTCAGACCAAGGTTTGAGCTCAAACCTCCTTTTGTTTCGCCAAACCTCCTTTTGTTCTTTACAAACCAGGTTTGTAAAAAACGCGTAAAACGCGTCATATGACGTACGAAAATCTCCTTTGTGAATTCGGGCCAAGAGGTTTGAAGAAATCTTACCTGTTCCACAGGTTGTACCGGTGTATCCAGTTGCACACATGCACATCAATGTAGTCAAATCACAATTTCCTCCGTACTCGCAATCCGAGTCCACGGCGCAGGCACCTATAATGAGCAATTTATTACCGTTAAGACTTATGTGATGGTTTATATTTAAGTTCTTTTAAAGACAATGAAGACGACGATAAAGTAAAAGAACACGATGATGTTGATCATTTTAGAGAGGCATCGACTCTACCACCAGGCCATCACTGGTCCATGGCACAGTCACGATGAAGTCACGAACGAATACCTAAGCTCTCCTGGTTCCTTTTGACTTATTAATATTCATTAGTCCGCCATAGGACAATAACTTTTATAAATGTAATGCTTCCTGGGAGAAATTTCAATGATTACAACATATTTGTGGCCTAAACCCAGTAAATAAGATCGATTGATCGATCTGTATTGAAAAACAAGTTAAAACAAATCTTTGAACCAGCTGGACTTGAACCTGCATCTACTGCTTGCCGGGCAGCGACTCTACCACCAGGCAATCACTGGTCCATGGCACTTTTGTTCGACAATTAAGCTTTATTCAACCCTTTTGTAAGTGTAAAAGAGAAATATGTTCTAAAAAAAGAGTTTCTTCTTGAGTTCGTTATATAAATAAAATAATCAAGGCCACTGCCCTAAATTTACACCGTGTCTTTTATTTGGTGATCGAAAGGAGATGCAAAACCTGAGTTGAGAGGTAAAAGGTTTGAAGAAATATTACCTGTTCCACAGGTTGTACCGGTGTACCCAGTTGCACACATGCACATCAATGTAGTCAAATCACAAGTTCCTCCGTACTCGCAATCCGAGTCCACGGCGCAGGCACCTATAATGAGTCATTTATAATTATTAAGACTTATGTGATGGTTTGTATTCAAGTTCTTTTGAAGACAATGAGGACGACGATAAAGTAAAAGAACACGATGATGTTGAGCATTTTAGAGATAATAGTATTTATAACGACTCTGATGATGATGATGAAGATGGTGATATTGAATAATGATGGATATAATGTCTATATACCAAGTTAACTTTTCTGTTCTAATTTTCTAATCGAGAAGCATTCCCGTCTTTCGAGATATTAAAATGACGTCAGGCCAAAGAGGCAAAATACCTTAACGACAGCACGTTCGTCGGTTCGTTATAGGAATGAAATAATCTTGGCCACTGCCCTAAATTTACACCTTGTCTTTTATTTGGAAATCGAAAGGAGATGCAAAACCTGAGTTGAGAGGTAAGAGGTTTGAAGAAATCTTACCTATTCCACAGGTTGTACCAATGTACCCAGTTGCACACATGCACATCAATGTAGTCAAATCACAAGTTCCTCCGTACTCGCAATCCGAGTCCACGGCGCAGGCACCTATAATGAGTCATTTATAATTATTAAGACTTATGTGATGGTTTGTATTCAAGTTCTTTTGAAGACAATGAGGACGACGATAAAGTAAAAGAACACGATGATGTTGAGCATTTTAGAGATAATAGTATTTATAACGACTCTGATGATGATGATGAAGATGGTGATATTGAATAATGATGGATATAATGTCTATATACCAAGTTAACTTTTCTGTTCTAATTTTCTAATCGAGAAGCATTCCCGTCTTTCGAGATATTAAAATGACGTCAGGCCAAAGAGGCAAAATACCTTAACGACAGCACGTTCGTCGGTTCGTTATAGGAATGAAATAATCTTGGCCACTGCCCTAAATTTACACCTTGTCTTTTATTTGGAAATCGAAAGGAGATGCAAAACCTGAGTTGAGAGGTAAGAGGTTTGAAGAAATCTTACCTATTCCACAGGTTGTACCAATGTACCCAGTTGCACACATGCACATCAATGTAGTCAAATCACAAGTTCCTCCGTACTCGCAATCCGAGTCCACGGCGCATGCACCTGTAATGAGCCATTTATTATCGTTAAGACTTATGTGATGGTTTAAATTCAAGTTCTTTTGAAGACAATGAGGACGACGTTGAAGTAAAATAACACGATGATGTTGATCTTTTTAGAGATAACAGTATTTATCATGACTATGAGGATGATGATGAAGATGGTGATAATGAATAATGATGGATATAATGTCTATATACCAAGTTAAATCTCATGTTCTAATTTTCTGATCGAGTAGCATTCCCGTCTTTCGAGATATTGAAATGACGTCAGGCGAAAGGGGCAAAATACCTTGGTGACAGCATAAAGTTTGTAAAGCAATAAGACCCGAGGAAGGCTTATAATAATCAACCTTTGCATTTTTGTTTGACAATTAATTTTTATTCACACTTTTGTAAGTGTGAAAGAGAAATTGTTCTAAAAAAAGAGTTTCTTCTTGAGTTCGTTATATAAATAAAATAATCAAGGCCAATGCCCTAAATTTACACCGTGTCTTTTATTTGGTGATCGAAAGGAGATGCAAAACCTGAGTTGAGAGGTAAGAGGTTTGAAGAAATCTTACCTGTTCCACAGGTTGTACCAGTGTACCCAGTTGCACACATGCAGATCAATGTAGTCAAATCACAAGTTCCTTCGTACTCGCAATCCGAGTCCACGGCGCAGGCACCTATGATGAGCCATTTATTATAGTTAAGACTTATGTGATGGTTTATATTCAAGTTCTTTTGAAGACAATGAGGACGACGATGTAGTAAAATAACACGATGATGTTGATCATTTTAGAGATAACAGTATTTATAACGACTCTGATGATGATGATGAAGATGGTGATAATGAATAATGATGGATATAATGTCTATATTATACCAAGTTAAATCTTCTGTTCTAATTTTCTAATCGAGTAGCATTCCCGTCTTTCGAGATATTGAAATAACGTCAGGCAAAAGAGGCAAAATACCTTGGTGACAGCATGAAGTGTCTATAGCGATAGGACCCGAGGAAGACTTATAATAATCAACCTTTGCATTTTTGTTCGACGATTAAGCCTTATTTACACTTTTGTAAGTGTGAAAGAGAAATTGTTCTAAAAAAAGAGTTTCTTCTTGAGTTCGTTATATAAATAAAATAATCGATGCCAATGCCTAAATTTACACCGTTTTTTTTTTTTGGTGATTGAATGGAGATGCAAAACCTTAGTTGAGAGGTAAGAGGTTTGTAGAAAGCTTACCTGTTCCACAGGTTGTACCAGTGTACCCAGTTGCACACATGCACATCAATGTAGTCAAATCACAAGTTCCTTCGTACTCGCAATCCGAGTCCACGGCGCAGGCACCTATGATGAGCCATTTATTATCGTTAAGACTTATGTGATGGTTTGTATTCAAGTTCTTTTAAATACAATCAGGACGACGATGAAGTAAAATAACACGATGATGTTGATCATTTTAGAGATAAATGTATTCATAACGACTATGATGATGATGATGAAGATTGTGATAATGAATAATGATGGATATAATGTCTATATACCAAGTTAAATCTTCTGTTCTAATTTTCTGATCGAGTAGCATTCCCATCTTTTGAGATATTGAAATAACGTCAGGCCAAAGAGGCAAAATACCTTAACGACAGCACGTTCGTCGGTTCGTTATAGGAATGAAAAGATCTTGGCCACTGCCTTAAATTTACACCTTGTCTTTTATTTGGTGATCGAAGGGAGGTGCAAAACCTGAGTTGAAAGGTAAGAGGTTTGAAGAAATCTTACCTGTTCCACAGGTTGTACCAGTGTACCCAGTTGCACACATGCAGATCAATGTAGTCAAATCACAAGTTCCTCCGTACTCGCAATCCGAGTCCACGGCGCAGGTACCTATGATGAGCCATTTATTATCGTTAAGACTTTTGTGATGGTTTATATTCAAGTTCTTTTGAAGACAATGCGGACGACGATGAAGTAAAATAACACGATGATGTTGATCATTTTAGAGATAACAGTATTCATAACGACTCTGATGATGATGATGATAAAGATGGTGATAATGAATAATGATGGATATAATGTCTATATACCAAGATAAATCTCAGGTTCTAATTTTCTAATCGAGTAGCATTCCCGTCTTTTGAGATATTGAAATAACGTCAGGTCAAAGAGGCAAAATACTTTAGTGACAGCATGAAGTTTGTATAGCGATAGGACCCGAGGAAGACTTATAGTAATCAACCTTTGCATTTTTGTTCGGCAACTAAGCTTTATTCACACTTTTGTAAGTGTGAAAGAGAAAATGTTCTAAAAATAGAGTTTCTTCTTCAGTTTGTTATAGAAATAAAATAATCAAGGCCAATGCCCTCAATTTACACCGTGTCTTTTATTTGGTGATGGAATGGAGATGCAAAACCTGAGTTAAGAGGTAAGAGGTTTGAAGAAAGCTTACCTGTTCCACAGGTTGTACCAGTGTACCCAGTTGCACACAGGCACATCAATGTAGTCAAATCACAAGTTCCTCCGTACTCGCAATCCGAGTCCACGGCGCAGGCACCTATGATGAGCCATTTATTATCGTTAAGACTTTTGTGATGGTTTATATTCAAGTTCTTTTGAAGACAATGAGAACGACGATAAAGTAAAATAACACGATGATGTTGATCATTTTAGAGATAACAGTATTCATAACGACTATGATGATGATGATGATGATGGTGAAAATGAATAATGATGGATATAATGTCTATATACCAAGTTTAATCTTCTCTTCTAATTTTCCAATCGAGTAGCATTCCTGTCTTTTGAGATATTGAAATAACGTCAGGCCAAAGAGGCAAAATACCTTAGTGACAGCATGAAGTTTGTATAGCGATAGGACCCGAGGAAGACTTATAGTAATCAACCTTTGCATTTTTGTTCGACAACTAAGCTTTATTCACACTTTTGTAAGTGTGAAAGAGAAAATGTTTTAAAAATAGAGTTTCTTCTTCAGTTTGTTATAGAAATAAAATAATCAAGGCCAATGCCCTAAATTTACACCGTGTCTTTTATTTGGTGATGGAATGGAGATGCAAAACCTGAGTTAAGAGGTAAGAGGTTTGAAGAAAGCTTACCTGTTCCACAGGTTGTACCAGTGTACGCAGTTGCACACATGCACATCAATGTAGTCAAATCACAAGTTCCTCCGTACTCGCAATCCGAGTCCCCGGCGCAGGCACCTATAATGAGCCATTTATAATTATGAAGACTTATGTGATGGTTTGTATTCAAGTTCTTTTAAAGACAATGAGGACGACGATAAAGTAAAATAACGCGATGATGTAGATCATTTTAAAGATAACAGTATTCATAACGACTATGATGATGATGATTGAGATGGTGATGTTGGATAATGATGCATATAATGTCTATATACCGAGTTTAATCTTCTCTTCTAATTTTCCAATCGAGTAGCATTCCCGTCTTTTGAGATATTGAAATAACGTCAGGCCAAAGAGGCAAAATACATTAACGACAGCACGTTCGTCGGTTCATTATAGGAATGAAATAATCAAGGCCACTGCCCTAAATTTACACCGTGTCTTTTATGTGGTGATCAAATGGAGATGCAAAACCTGAGTTGAGAGGTAGGAGGTTTGAAGAAATCTTACCTGTTCCATAGGTTGTACCAGTGTACCCAGTTGTACACATGCACATCAATGTAGTCAAATCACAAGTTCCTCCGTACACACAGAGAAAAAGAGGTGTAAATTGACCCCCTATAGGGAGTAACTGCTTGTTGCATAAGTGACACCCCTCAGGGAGTAAATTTGCTCCCCAATGTAGGGAGTACAAAATAAATTTAATAAGAAGGTGTAAATTTGCACCCCAAGGTTATGACTTTAATCCCTTTAAGGAGTGAAATTTGCACCCAATGGTGCTTAATTAACACATTTTGGTTCCATTTTCATGAAAAATTGGTTCAAATTTACAACCTGGGGGGGGGGGGGGAGGGTTGAATTTTATACCCTTTGTGACCGATTCCATACCCTGTGTGGAGTATATCTACAACCTTTTCATCAACCAATTGATCATCCCTCGAGCAATCAATCATCCATGCTTCGTAATCACCTAACAGTCACTGATTCGCACTATTTTGTCTACGTTTCACTGCTCTAAAGAAATCAGACCAGAATGTCGAGTTATATTTCGAAATGCTTTAATGCTTACCTAAACAACAGTTAGTGTGAACTCAGCACAAGTGCAGACTTTAAGAACTAACTGATGGCTGGACGTATCGGTTCAAATGAAATGGAATAAACTAAATACACAATACTGCCTTACCGAATATCTTCCCTTTACTTACACGTATAAGAAGACAACTATGTAATACCTGACATTGGAGTTTGACTTGTAGGTCCCTGAAATTCAAGAGAAACGAATATTACAGATATTTCATTTACTAAACCAAGTTTCTATAGTCCATTGAGGTCATTTATATCCTAAGAGCATTCATGAAAATCATTAACATTACGTAGTTTGGTTTTTACGAATTATTCACGGTTGGAGGATGTTATGTACTGTATCTATCGGTGACCATTTTGTATTGTTTTAATTTACTTTCTTGGTTAATTTGATTTGCTAAAAAATGTAATTTCTCTTGGTAGTCATGATTATTTCATATGTGCATTATGCACTGCATAACATCGAAACACTATACGAATGAGAATGATATAAAGATATGGAGATTGATAACTCACGATTGTTGCCAAAGTTGTCGTATCTGGAATACCTATGAATGGAATAAAAATTACAATATAACAGTTTCCGCACCATGGCTACACCTTTCTCTATTTCTCAATTTCTTCCAAAATTTAGAATTAAAGTAATTAGAGATATAGAAACTATCTCTACATCACTAGTTGGCTACTAATCATTTCATCACCCAGTACCATAGGAACAATGTGGTCAGAGTGTCATTGAATTGGGAGAGATAATATTATGTCATGGAAAGGGAAGAACAAAAAATGTATATTTCAGCACAGGATTAATCCAACAGACATGATTGCGTTGTGATGCAAAATAGTTAAGAGCTATAGATTTTCTTAGGAAAGTATATCTGGCTTATTTTTTCTATCTTTTCCTACAAATAATAACCCCTTTGGTAATAAATGTAGTCTCTACGCAAGTTAAGAAACCAAGTATCTTTTTGCGCCATTCATAAAACATCAAAGCGGATATAGTCAACAACAGCTGCATTTGCAGGACGTTTTCCAGAGCATTATCATTACATTTTTCTTAAACAAATTATTTTGATAGAATGATATGCCATTCTAAAATTGCTACACAAATATATATTTCCATTAACTTCTCGTTTAGACACTATATACCATACCCTCTCAAACGATTTGTTGTTGTTTTGTCTGTTTGGTTACTAATGTCTTCATTACAAATATCACCAAGACATGATGCAATAACCGTCTTCAATGGCTTTGACCATCTTATTTACCTCCTTACATTCATAATCAGCGTAGATGTAGGTGTACTCCCATGGGCACGTTGAACTTGACGAGCATGAGAAAGTGATGGTACATGGATTGAACGTCTCGCAATACGGAGCCCACAGGGCCGTCTTGTCACTGTCTTCACACTGGCTCTCTATGGAGGGGTCATAAGCATCGCAATAAGGAACCTTCACACATACTCCTTTGGTGATCCTGATCGTCGATCCTGGGTCACACTCCATCGTGATTGTTGGGGATCCATTTACTTGACACCCTGTAACTGTGGACAATAATACAAACATGCATTACAAACTAAAAAAGAAAATAAGCAAAGAATAATTATGTTTGATAATAACTTGGGAGATTCGTTTAAAAATAGTTTAACATTAAAAATCAGCAATTGCGGCTGTTAGTTTGACCATTTTGGTATAAGCGGTTGGCCACCAAGACTTGGTAAACCAAGAGTGAAAATTACTCTTGCACCAGCTGTGTATATAGTTAAGTTGATTTTACCAAGGATATATCCATGCGTTTGTCATGGCACGCTGTTTATTCCCCATTCTTCCATTAAATGATATAAACTACCGCATACTTTGATAATGCGACATAATATATGAGCCTTTTGAGGAGAACAATTGTTATTAATATTTTCCTAAAAAAGAAACTTTTGTTCAGTATAACTTTGAGTATTAAAGCAGATGCACAAGTTTTATTTCTCTGATACGAATCCTGACTTTGCTCACGTGAATCTCTGGTTGTATGTGGAATGCATTAAATTCCTTCTGTATCTGTTCGTGTGAATTTATTTTTTGTTTTGTCAAGCTGTATGATGAATTTACAACATACCAGCACGGACGCGCTACAAAAGGAGAAACAAATGTTGAGGAATTCGTTGAGCAGTCACATTCTGATATTAAAGCACTTTGCCATCCTTGACAAGACTATTATTATGTATATGTACGTTTTAAAATAAGCGAGTGTGTGTGTGTGTGTGTGTATGTGTGTTGTTCAATTTCAACCGCCAACCACCCCAGGAACATTACCCCCCCCCCCTCCCAACAGGACAATCAAGGATAATCAGCACGAGGACGAACCCCCGATCCCCCGAGGATGATTGACCTCGGGGTATAGTTAAGGTGAGGGGGTAATTGTCCGCCATCTGTGTTGTACCTGTTTAGGGGCCAGGGGCTATGACATGGACAGTCCAGTATAAGGGATCGGGTTGTGTGTTCATATAAAGTGTCATCACATACGACATACACTCTGATGTCGTGCTAGATATAGTCAACGAATTCAGCTCTTGATGGGTGCAAACGGATCTCGAATATAGGCCAACGAGAAGTTTGTATACGATTATTCTAGAAGAATTCCCTTATTTTCCAGCTACCCAACGTCCAACCAAAACAATATGTAGCGGCAAAATTCCTTGTGGGAACTAAGTTGACACCACACACCAATTAACATAAGTGGGACCATGCAAAACAAATGTAGATGATCAACCTTTTCTGATCGATTCCACACCGTTTCTTTCACAATGCAATCGCATGATCAGAATTCAATAGTCAACGTTTTTTTTCAAATTCAACTTTGAAAGGGGCACTTAAAGGAGGTGACATTGGGCATTTCTAAGAAATGCGAATGGAAGGGGCACTTTAAAGTAGAAAGGAAAAACGGGCACCTATCAGATTAATAAAAATAAACAAGGGCACCTGTCAAAGTAAAAGGGCTATTTATCAGAGATGAAAAGAGACATTTGTTCATATCTAAAAAGAAACGGAAATTATATTTTTTTAGAAGGAAACTTGCACTTGTCAAATTAAAAAGGGAACCTATCAAATTTTAATCGGGGCACTGTTCAGATGTGAAACAAGGGGCACGTTTAATTTGTTCGTCTATTTTGACCCCGAAATTTTTTGGCGTCGGTCGATATTTAGCTCAGTGGGGGATGGCACAGTAACCTTTTATTTCTTTTTAAAACTAAACACGCCCCCCCCCCCCCATTCAGCAAAAAAAGAAAGGGTAATTTTCTGGTCACAATTTGTTTGTAATTGCTTTTTCTTTTTTGGCAATGGGAGGGGGAACCGTCTTTTTTTTTTTTTTGGGGGGGGCAAGGCCCACTCGGCCCCCTGGATCCGCTTTAAATATCAAAGAGACAAATTTCCTACATTTTGGTTAGTGAGCACTAATTTTTGTTTTGACCTCTACAATTTGAACCCCCCCCCCCCCCTTGAGCGCCAGGGGGGGGGGGGTCGGGCTATCTCCCCGGACAACTACCCCCAGATCACTACCCCCTAGGACAACTACTTCATAGGACAACTACCCCGGACAGCTACCCCCAGACAACTACCCCTAGGACAACTACCCCCGGACAACAACCCCCGGACAACTAAACCCTAGGATAATTGTCCGGGGGTAGTTTTTTTAGGGGGTAGTTGGGAGTGAGTTTCTTATGTCGGGGCCGGTGTGACCGCGCCGTTTGTCCTACCAGTTCCGTATTCTGGCTCAATACTGACACCTATGGTGTCGAGGGGCTCTTTCTTCATTTTTCTATTCGGTAATAAATAAGGTTAGTTTATGTGGGTGTCACTCAGGCGCGGTATACAGGGGGCGACGGACCCGCCCCCCCCCCCTCTTTGAAAAAAAAAGGAAAGGAA